TTCCACACTAATCCATCTGGATGGGCGTGTGCATGTGGATGCCAGACTTCAACCTTGGATATTGCATCTCAGGAGCTGTCTACCTTTCTTGGCTTTTTATTTTTAACATTTATTTATTTTATGTGCATGAGCATTTTGTTTACATTTGTACGTGTGTCAAGTACATACTAAGTGCCCATGGAGACCAAAAGAGGGTATTCGAGTCCCTAAAACTGTACTTACAGAAGGTTGTGAGCTCCCAGGTGGGTGCTAGTATCCCAGGCGGGAGCATCGACTACCACTGAGCATTGTCTCCAGTTCCTGGCTCTTGATTTTGTTCATTTGTTTTCTCTGACACAGTGTCTTGCATTGGTCAGGCACTCACCGACTCGGCTACACTGGCTGGCCAATAAGCACCATGGATGCTTCTGTTTCTCCCTCCTTAGGACTAGGATTACAAGTGTCTGGCAGCTCTTTTACTGGCCCCTGGGCTTGAACTCAGGTGCTCATATTTAGACAGCAAGCACTTTACTTTGCCCAGCTGAGATACCAGATTTTTCTGGTACCCATTTGAAAATGAAAATCATTCTAGAACTGCATGAGGCTTTCCTTTTCCGACACAGTATCAAACTTGTTTGAATATGACAGCTTTTCTGTTTGTCTTTGTTTCCGTTTTCCCTCTAGTCTAAAATGAGTAGGCTTTGAACGCAGTGACACACATACCGCACACTTCAACTTCCACCTCTCCGAGACTCTGCTTTCCAAACCTAAACAAATTCAGGCTCCTTTTCTCTATTTCCCTAGCCTTAATCTGCCTTGGTATATAAGGTGAGTGTTCCTTAAAATACCTGAAGGGAAACAGGGAGAGAAATAGACAGTTGTGAGTACTTTTCCATACTTATCAAAACCTATTAGCTTTTGCCTCCTGAGAAGAGAGGCTTAGTGGAGAGGGAAGAACTTCCAAGCCAGGCATCCCAGACTCAAAGCATGGTTCTTTCATCAGATTTGGACAGACAATTGTCTAAGCCTTTGTGTGTGTGACTTTTCTTTTTCTACTTAGTTTGTGTACACATGCGTGTGTGCATGTGGGTGTGTTTGTGTGCTTGCGCATGATGTGTGAAGCATGCAAGCCGTAGTGTGCATGTAGAAAACAGAGGACTTATGGAGTAGATTCTCTGTTTTTTCCTTTATGTAAATTCTGCAAGTGAAGCTCAGGTCTTCAGCTCACTCAACAACCTCCTAGGGCCCAGTTCTGTGATTGTAATGAAGTTTTTGGATTTTTGAGTGACTTTTTAATTAACTCTTAGGGTAATTTTAGAGAGTGTGCAAAATGTATGTGTTGCATTTGTCATGGTGTTTGGGATATTGCTAATTAAGGAAGAGACGGAGAGTCCTGGGGCTACCTGTCTTCAAGGGAGGTTACAGTAGACACTAGCCACACTAGATGTTCTGTGAGAAAGCCATTTCAGAGCTCGAGAAAGAGTTCCAGGCTACACTGTTAGTTCCAGACCTAGAAACTCCATTCTGTGCTCATTCCTGGTTAGTCCTTCCAACTGCAGTATTTGCAGATTCCAAAAGCTTTTGTTTTCCTGGTTTTAACGCTTCACTCACACAATTATTTTTGTTCCATCAATGGCAGATTTTTTTCTAGTGTTTCCACATCCAAGATCTATTTGGAATCTGAAATGTATTCTGATCTGCTTCCGAGCTTCCACTTTCTCCCTTAGTTTCAATTAGGAACACACAGTCAGTAGTAGAGGGGTGAAAAAAAAGCTCTTAGGGATTATTTTTAGCTCCTGGTTTCTTTGCAACCTTGAGTTCTTCGTGCTTTGTGTAATTAACTTATCAGAAGAAGGGAGATGTTGAAAGCCATTTCCTCTGGGTACCACAGATGCTGCAGAGAGGTTGTAAGAAGTCACAGCAGTAGGAAGGGGATCGCTGAACTTGGCTTTATTAGAAAGCAAAATAAACAACACGTTGCACGCTGACTTCACCCTCATTAAACATTCATACTGGAAACGCTTACCTTGTGACAGCCGAGATGTTATCCTCTGTAGAAAGAGAATGGGGGAAAGGAATCCCTAGGCCAATGCATTGCAGCTTGTGTTTCACGGCTTGGGAAAAGCAGTGTTATGTAAAAGTTTTTAATATGCCAGCCTAAGCAGTTTGGCCTTCAACCGGTTTGAAACACCTGCAGGTGGGATGTGATGGTGATGAGGGAGGCATCCGGAGACTTGCACACCAGCGTGCAGAGAAATGTAAATAAAAGCCTAAAAGCCTGACCAGCCTTTATGCTCCATCTATTGTGCGATGCCAGCCCACAAGGCCCATTGTGTTAAGAGGATTAGCGCTAAGGCTGCATGAACTTTGAAATAGCCCAGTGAAGCTTAGGAACTTTCCAGTTTAAATTGGTCTTCAGCAAGACCTCCTTGATCATCAGGAATTTGGCAGCTCAGATCCTGCCATTGTCTGGCAGCAGGGCTGACCTCCTGGGTGTCAATCCTGTCATATCCCTTTTTATTCTCGGCAGAAGAATGAAGGGGCAGGGATTATCATAGAGGTCAGAGCGGAAGTCAGAAATAATATTCTGTCACAGCTTTCCCAAATTAAAGAAAATGCTGTTAGAGCCAACATGAAATCATTTTTGTTGCCATTTAATCTAGAAGGCACCATGTTATCTCCTTATAAAGAAGTAGGCATCAGCTCATGTAACTGTTGGGAAAGAGTTTGAAAAAGAGTGAGAACAAATTTCCAGTAAAGCGACTCTTAACCAAAGGTCCTGAGACCTTCCCCTTTGTGTTAGCAAAACTGACACCAAGTGAAGGGATTGGTGAGAGAGAAGAGGCCAGAGCCCTCCATCCGGGCGCATAGTCCCTCTGTTGAGCAGTGAATGCCTGCAGAGCCACCTCCAGATGTGGTATGCTGCCAGATTTGGGCATGGCAGGGTCCACGTGACTGAACAACTCATGGCACAGTTGCAGAATCAGCATAAATCGCAGAGCATGAAGAACTACGTTTGCTCCACATGCAGTGTTCCAGGGCCTTTTGCTGGGGATGCCAAGGATGATGAAATAGATTTCCATTAGCCGAGGAGCAGCCGGAGACTGGAGTTGCCCAATCTTCTCTTGCGTGTCTGAAGACCCTACTTCTATTTCAAGGGTATCAGAAAGTAGGAACCTTTCTTTGTCCATACAAGGAGGGAAAAGTGTGAGAACTGTTTCATCACCTGAGCCAGTGCTATGTCATCCCCACAAAACACAAAACCGGTAGCTGGGAACAGCGATCCGTCCAGCTCAAAGGATGCTGGAGTTGGAGCTGCGGGTCGGTCAATAGGAGAGAAAGCTCCCATTTTTGAACCGGTTGTTTTCCATAAAGTGGGGATGACTAAGGAGAAAACATTTTAGAAGACAAAACTAGAAAAGGAGAAAGAACAAAAAGTTACCATGATCATTTGGTAGCTTTGCATGTTAACCGAGAAACAGCAGGCCCTGAGTTGGTATCTCCTTCCAGCCTGTGGGTTCTCCATCTCCCGATCTGTGACCACAGTACTAAGTGAATTCATGAGAAAACCAGGAGCCGGTCTGACAAAATAGAAAAACAGTTGTAAAAGTAATGACTATTTCAGTGGAAAAGAGATTGTATTTTTAACGAACTGATTTCTCAGCTGAAGAATACAGAATGCGGGCTCCATTGCAGGGGACAGAACACTGACGCTCACCGCAGAAGTGCTTTCCTTCAATACTACAGCATGCTAAAGGTGCTGCTGAGCCCATTCAGCTGCAGAGCCCCGCAGTGTGGCTGTGTGTTAAAGCGCATGTTACAGAGTCTTTGGGATATTGGTGAAAACAATTTCCCCCTGAATCAAAACCAGCAAATAAACTAGTTGAGTGAAGCATGGCACAAGGTATACTGGAAAATGTATAAATACCTCAAAGAATAATGAGAGGAAAGTTATCTAATAAATTCTATTTTTTATTTTATTATAATTTATTTTTATTTAAATTAATTTAGAGATTCCATATGAGTTCTTTACAATGTTGTCACCTCCTTCCAATGATCCCAATGCCCTCCACTTCCTCTCACATGCATAACCTCTTTTTTTTTCTGATTAGAAAATTCCACTTTATTTATTATTATTATTATTAAAAAATACCGCCTCCTCCCTATCTCCCATTTCCTTCCCCCTCCCCCCACCTCCCTCCCCCTCCCTCTCCAATCCAAACAACAGTCAGGGTTCCCAGCCCTGTGGGAAGTCCAAGGTCCTCCCCACTCCATCCAGGTCCAGGAAGGTGAGCAACCAAACAAACTAGGCTCCCAAAAAGTCAATACATGCAGTAGGATCAAAACCCAGTGCCACTGTCCTTGGCTTCTCAGTCAGCCCTCATTGTCCGCCATGTTCAGAGAGTCCGGTTTGATCCCATGTTCTTTTAGTCCCAGTCCTACTGTGCTGCGGAGGCTCCGCTCCTTCAGCCAATAGCCGCTGAGTACCAGCCCATTGGGGCGTGGTCTCTCTCTCTTTAAAAAAGCAGCGGCTGTCCTCCACTCGCACTTTGGCTTCAGTCTCCGCTTGCAGCTCCTAGACTCCTTTCCTGATCGGGCAGTAGGGCTGTTGTTTGGGACGGTAATCTGTAAGTTTTTTCCCCTTTGAACAAATAACCATTCTATTAATCATAATTCAAAACTGGTGTAGGATTGTTTGTGACTTACGCCTTCATTTGGCACCCAACGTTTCGTTGTAGAACCCCCCCCCCTTTCTTCCCCACTCAGCTGCCAGCTCGGCAAGTTCAGCAGCTCCGCAAGCCAGCAGTTCAATTAAACCCCACCCCCACCTCCCAAGCTCCACAGGCTCTGGACAGTCTCTGCCTGCCTTTTCTGAGTTGTTTTTAAATTTCCCTTGTAAGTGTGGTGCTTGAGTGGTGTGAATCAGAACACAAGCAGTTGCCAAAAGCTGTAACCCCTCGGGGCAGAAGTTGCGAAAAGCCTCGGAGTCAGAGAGGCCGGCTAAGTGGCAGTGTGCGGCACCAACATGGCTTACAACAAGATCCCACAGCGATGGCTGAACTGTCCACGGCGCGGCCAACCGGTGGCAGGAAGATTCTTACCTCTGAAGACGATGCTTGGGCCACGATATGATAGTCAAGTTGCTGAAGAAAACCGGTTCCATCCTAGTATGCTCTCAAATTACCTAAAGAGTCTAAAGGTTAAAATGAGCTTGTTGGTGGATCTGACAAATACTTCAAGGTTCTATGACAGAAATGACATAGAAAAAGAAGGAATCAAGTATATCAAACTTCAGTGTAAAGGACATGGTGAATGCCCCACCACTGAGACTACCAAGACGTTTATTCGCCTGTGTGAGAGGTTCAATGAAAGAAGCCCACCTGAACTTATAGGTGTTCACTGCACCCATGGCTTCAACCGGACCGGTTTCCTCATATGTGCCTTTCTGGTGGAGAAAATGAATTGGAGTATTGAAGCAGCAGTTGCTACTTTTGCCCAAGCCAGACCACCAGGAATCTATAAGGGTGATTATTTGAAGGAACTTTTTCGTCGCTATGGTGATATAGAAGAAGCACCACCACCACCTGTATTGCCAGATTGGTGTTTTGAGGATGATGATGAAGAAGATGAGGATGAAGATGGAAAAAAGGACTCAGAACCTGGGTCAAGTGCTTCCTTTGGTAAAAGGAGAAAAGAACGATTAAAACTGGGTGCTATTTTCTTGGAAGGTATAACTGTTAAAGGTGTAGCTCAAGTAACATTTCAACCAAAGTTAGGAGAGGTACAGCAGAAATGTCATCAGTTCTGTGGCTGGGAAGGGTCTGGGTTCCCTGGAGCACAGCCTGTTTCCATGGACAAGCAAAATATTAGACTTTTAGAGCAGAAGCCATATAAAGTAAGCTGGAAAGCAGATGGTACTCGCTATATGATGTTGATTGATGGCACAAATGAAGTTTTCATGATTGACAGAGATAATTCAGTGTTTCATGTTTCAAATCTGGAATTTCCATTTCGTAAAGATCTCCGCATGCATTTATCAAATACACTTTTGGATGGGGAAATGGTCATTGACAAAGTAAATGGACAGGCTATTCCACGATATCTGATATATGACATAATTAAATTCAATGCACAACCAGTTGGAGATTGTGATTTTAATATTCGTCTGCAGTGTATTGAACGTGAAATCATAAGTCCACGACATGAAAAAATGAAGACTGGGCTCATTGACAAAACACAAGAACCATTTAGTGTCAGACCTAAACCATTTTTTGACACCAATGTTTCAAGAAAGCTCCTGGAAGGGAATTTTGCCAAAGAAGTCAGCCATGAAATGGATGGACTTATATTTCAGCCTACTGGAAAATACAGACCTGGGCGATGCGATGATATTTTGAAATGGAAACCTCCTAGTCTGAACTCGGTGGATTTTCGACTTAAGATAACAAGAATGGAAGGAGAAGGGTTGCTTCCACAGAATGTTGGCCTTCTCTATGTTGGAGGTTATGAAAGACCCTTTGCACAAATCAAGTTGACAAAAGAACTAAAACAGTATGACAACAAAATTATAGAATGCAAATTTAAGAGTAACAGCTGGGTCTTTATGAGGCAGAGAATAGACAAAAGTTTCCCAAATTCCTACAACACAGCCATGGCTGTGTGCAACAGCATCTCAAACCCTGTCACCAAGGAAATGCTATTTGAGTTCATTGACAGATGTGCAGCAGCTGCCCAAGGACAGAAGCGAAAAGATCCCCTGGACCCTGACACAGAGCTCATGGCACCCCCACCACCCAAGAGACTGCTCCGGCCAACCTAGTCCTGCCTGACCTCATGCTCAAGAGGAAAGAAGAGTGAGAAGAACGCTGTCGCCTCATTTTCACAGCCAGAGAATGAAAGGGACAAGTGTGGCTTGGTACTGGCACATGTGTCTTAAGGGAAGCCGTGTGGCCAGCCTGTGTATATTTGGTACATTTGGTTTCTCAGAACTACAGTGCATCATGGACCTAAATATTTTATTTATACCTGATAAATTCAGCCTTACATTGTGGAGTTTGATAATTGAAATATCCAAAGGTTTAAATCAGATTGAAGTCAGTGAAGTAGAGGCCTTGTTTGTATGTGAACAGATACCCTTACATTTGATTCACAACTAGCAATCTGAAACTGTGAGCACATTGAGTTTTTTAGAAGTTTTTTAAGTTTTCCTCTTAAAAATATAGACAGTGACATTAAAAATTCTCACTGTCACTTATCATGGGTTTCCTATATTTCTGAATTTTCTGTATTCTGAACAATGACAAGGTTCATTGTTCAGAATGAACATGAATAATATTGAATAATATTAATAATAAATAATAATAAATATTATTTTAATTAATTATTATTATTAATTATTATTTAATTAATTATTATTTAAATAATAATAAATAATAATAATGAATAATATTATGCACATTAAACATTTTAAAAAGGTATTTTTTGTTTTGTTTTTGGTGTGTGTGTATGTGTGTTTGGGTGGTTGGGTGAGAGGTAAAAGTAAAACAATAACAGCTCCTTTTCCCCCCTGATGAATTGTATCCTTTCTTTAGAAAGTACTTTGAGTATTTTTACTGTTTCTCTTGTTTAAGCCACAGTGTCAGATGTCTGGTGTTCCATCCTGGCAGTGGTTTTGAGTTACTATGTGGCACTTAGATAATAGAGCCCAGGCTGACTTAAGCCTTCACAGCTGGCCATGGTGAGCTCCCATTAGATCAGCCCCACTGTCTCAGTGGCTGGGCGCACCCCTCCCTGTCCTGACTTCTTTGCTCATGTTCTCCCTCCTTCTGCTCCTCATTTGGGCCTTGGGAGTTCAATCCAGTGCTCCATTGTGGGTCTCTGTCTCTATCTCCATCCATCGCCAGATGAAGGTTCTATGGTGATATGCAAGATATTCATCAGTGTGGCTATAGGGTAGGGCCACTTCAGGCTCCCTCTCCTCAGCTGCCCAAGAAACTAGCTGGGGACATCTCCATGGATACCTGGGAACCCTTCTAGAGTCAAGTCTCTTGCCTACCCTAAAATGGCTTCCTTAATTAAGATATCTTCTTCCCTGCTCCCATATCTACCCTTCCTCCATCCTGGTGTGGGATAATTATCTTTATTCTGTCAATCATGTATTTTAATAAAACACTGATTGGCCAGGCAGGTAGTATAGGAGGGAAAACAAGACAGGAAGTAGAGGTGATGCAATGAGAACAGGAGAATTCTGGGAAGCAGGAAGGTTCCTCTGTCACTCCTGTGCAAACCACCAGAGAAGCAACATGTGAGCTGACAGCTGAAAAAGGTACCAAGCCATATGGCTAATGTAGATAAGGAAAATGGGGTAACATCTGTCATAAGAGCTAATAAGTAGCCTGACCTAATGGGCCAATCAGCTTTATAACTTATAGAGATCTCTGTGTGATTGACTTTTCTCTGGGGCTTGCCAGCTGTGGGGTACTGGGCAGGACAGATACCCCAACAAGCTGGCCCCTCATGTTACATATGGCACCCACGTGGATAACTGAATCCACAGAAAGCCTGAGAAAGCTTGGGAAAGAATAGAGTAAAGCATGTTTTCTTGGTAGCAGCAATTTCTCAGGTCTGCTCTGCTTGTTAGAGGCAAGCAAATACTCTCATCTAAGAGAGGCTTCCTGACTCAGCTTTAGCTGTAAAACTTTGTAGCTCCTTTAAGAGGTCCTGCCATGAAACTCTTAAACGGTGTTGATGAAAAGCTGAACGCATGCTTTTCGGGTTTTCAGCCATAACAGGAAAAAAGCTGCGCTGTTTTAAAATGCTGACTTTCTGGGCTGTCCTGCCAGGGCAAACTCTGACTGTTTCAGGCAGACAGTCGGACTGAGTGTGGTCTGTGAGCAGAATGCTGCAGCTTGCTTGCCAGCAGGGACCTTGAAACACCACAGAGTTGTGGTGATAAAAATGGCTCCTGGAGTACCTCTGCCATGAGGCTGGAAATCCAGGGAATGGGCTAGATCCAGCCATCAAAGCTACAGGTTTTTGACTCGTGGGGTCAGAAGTAAAGTGAGATTAAAAGATGAAAAAAAAATTCTAAATGGTTTACTATGTGTTAAAAATACACGCAGTTAAAGGTTAAAGTTCTTAGGGTAAAAAGGGAAGAAAGAAAGTGGTTGGGTGTGGTAGTACACACCTTTAATCCCAACACTTGGGAGGCAGAGGTACATTGACCTCTGTGACTTCAGGGTGTGGAGGTACACACCTTTAATCCCAATGCCTGGGAGGCAGAGACAGACAGATCTCTTTGAGTTCAAGGTGTGGTAGCATACACCTTTAATCCCAGCACTGGGGAGGCTGAGACAGAGGGATCTCTGTGAGTTCAAGGACAGCCTGGTCTACAGAGTTATTCCAGGACAAAGATATATACAGAGAACCTGTCTCAAAAAGCCAAAAGATAAAAGTAAAAATAAAAGAAATAGAGGTTAAAGACACATAAAGATGGAAAATACACGGAGACTCTTGATACTGTATGCCATCATGCTCTCTTTGAGTTGTTTGAATGCTGAGGAAGGAGCAACAGCTGCTAAAAGACTTTTGTTTATAAATGCTGCTGAACTAAACCAAGATAGGTATTTTGAAAATACCTTGGCTTCAAAACTGAAGTCAAAAGGTTTGTTACTTTGGAGAAGAGATTTTGCTTTTGTTTCCACAGAAAATGAGAGGCTGTGGATTCATTCTGAGTTAAGAAAAATCAGGTTCGAAAAAGGAAGACCACCTGAGAAATCTCCAATAGGAACAGATGGCCCAGATGACAGAATTCTACATCCAGAACAGATTCAAGACTGCTGCCTGAGATGATCAAGATTCACAGGATACTTCAGTCAGGACTTGATTATAACTCTAAATTTTCTTTAGGTCCCCATAAGATCATCAGCGCCCCCAACCAGCAGGAAGTAGCCTGAAATACTACGCCCACATTCCCAACAAATGGACTATGGGTATTTTTCTTTGTTTTAAAAAAAAAGAGGGAAATGGTGTGGGAGAACTGTCTGTATTCTGTCAATCATGTATTTTAATAAAACACTGATTGGCCAGGCAGGAAGTATATGCGGGAAAACCAGTCAGGAAGTAGAGGTGATGCAATGAGAACAAGAGAATTCTGGGAAGCAGGAAGATTCCTCTGCCACTCCTGTGCAAACCACCAGAGAAGCAACATGTGAGCTGATAGCTGAAAAAGGTACCAAGCCATATGGCTAATGTAGATAAGGATAATGGGGTAACATATGTCATAAGAGCAAATAAGTAGCCTGACCTAATAGGCCAATCAGCTTTATAACTTATAGAGATCTCTGTGTGATTGATTTTTCTCTGGGGCTTGCCGGTTGTGGGGTACTGGGCGAGACAGAAACCCCAACATGCCGGCCCCTCATGTTACACCATCCCAACCATTCCATTCCCCCAGAGTCTCCTCTTAAGGTCATGCTCAACCTCATTAGCATCAGGGAAATGCAAATCAAAACAACTCTGAGATACCATCTTATACCTGTCAGAATGGCTAAAATCAAAAACACTAACAATAGCTTTTGCTGAAGAGGATGTGGAGTAAAGGGTACACTCATCCATTACTGGTGGGAATGCAAACTTGTGCAACCACTTTGGAAATCAGTGTGGCAGTTTCTCAGGAAATTCGGGATCAACCTACCCCAGGATACAGCAATACCACTCTTGGGAATATACCCAAAAACATTTGTTTAACTATGTTCATAGTAGCATTATTTGTAATAGCCAGAACCTGGAAACAACCTAGATGCCCTTAAATGGAAGAATGGATAAAGAAAGTGTGGAATATATACACATTAGAGTACTACTCAGCAGTAAAAAACAATGACATCTTGAATTTTGCATGTAAATGGATTGAAATAGAAAACACTATTCTGAGTGAGGTAACCCAGACCCAAAAAGATGAATATGGTATGTACTCACTCATAGTGGATTCTAGCCATAAATAAAGGTCAGTGAGCCTATAATTCATGGTCCTAGAGAAGCTAAATAAAAAGGTGAACCCAAAGAAAAACATATAGTTATCCTCCTGGATATTGGAAGTAGACTAGATTGCCAGACAAAAATTGGGATCTTGGGGGTAGGGGTGGGCTGGGAGTAAGGGGACATGGGGAGAGAAAAGTGAGGAGGGGGCGATGGGGAGACCCTGGGGGAATAGATTCTATTTTTATTTAGCACCTAACACCTTTGTCCCCGCCCCCTGGATTTTTTTTTTTAGAAGTTTGGGCCTCCAGAGAATCCCAACTCAGTAGGTAATTCTGAGTTTTTAGCCTTCAGTGAAATACCCAAGCTTTCACCTGGGCAAGCGTGTTTATGTATTTGCATGTGTATGTGTGCATACATGTGTGTACAGATACATCATGGTGGCCAGAGGTCAGACTCTAGCATTGTTTGTACTCAGCACTTTAACAACTGAGCAATCTCCCTGTCCCGACTTGGTCTTCTGAGGGCGTAGTCACCAGGCTGTGTGACTTCCAGTCTCAGCACAGTCAGTCTCCTCTTGGCCTGCTCTGGCAGCCTTGATCTAGCCCAACAACTCTGCAAGTTCAGTGGCTAAGTAAGGTTGACACAAAGTCATGAACCTACATAGATAAAGACAAAGCCCTGATCCACAACCAGCAGCAACCAACCCTGGAAACTCACCCCTGATTTATAGTAATTACCCTCAGAAACCATGTATAATGCAACAGCTATTCCAAAGACCATGCTAGAATTTGAACAATTCAAATAATTTTTAAAATAACTGTCTAAAATTGCCAAGATTTGATTAATTAGACAGTC